TGCATATATGCTGAAAAAAGTGAAAAAACAGCATAAATTCCCTAAAAATGACCCGATCATGCTGATTTTCGAACTTGACCTGCGTATTATGAATATTCATCAGTTCTGTAACTTTCAAGCCAAAAGGTAAAATGGTTTTTCACTTATCGTGTTATCGGTGCTGCATATATGCTGAAAAAAGTGAAAAAACAGCATAAATTCCCTAAAAGTGACCCGATCATGCTGATTTTCGAACTTGACCTGCGTGTAATGAATATTCATCAGTTTTGTAAGTTTCAAGTCAAAAGGTAAAATGGTTTTCCACTTATCGTGTTATCAGTGCTGCATATATGCTGAAAAAAGTGAAAAAACAGCATAAATTCCCTAAAAGTGACCCGATCATGCTGATTTTCGAACTTGACCTGCGTATTATGAATATTCATCAGTTCTGTAAGTTTCATACCAAAAGAAAAAACAGTTTTCCATTTATCGTGTTATCGGTAAAAGTGCACGGCGACGGCGACGACGGCGACGACGGCGACAGCGACGACGGCGACGACAGACGCAGATGATGGCTATATGTACAGACACATCTGTGTCTGTACATAATAATGGGAGGACAGTAAGATGTGCATTACAATTATCTAAAACATACTGAAAGTAACTTGGAGCAAGTGCAACTACTCTCTGTGTGATCTTCTACCCAAAGCTTTCTTGCTCCAATCGACTAAAAGCCTGCATCAGTGATGTGTCAATCTTTATGTTATGTGAATGGACAGAAGAAATTGAGGCATCAGAAAAACCCACCCTTCATCATCCATCAGGAGCAGCTCATCCTCACTGCTACTTTCTCCCTTTGACGATGACAGGCTGAAATTTTCAAATAGAAACTGCAAATAACATCAAAAGTGGAGTATGTTTAATCAGGTTATATATATATTAAATCTACAAACCCAGGCCTGTTTGTTTGTGTGTCTGTCATCAAGTATTTCCACTTATGTTTGTCTCTCTGCTACTCACTCTTTCCTATTCATGATTACATTGTATGACTGTTGGCCTGGTTTTTCTTTTAAAATGCAGTCAAAGAATTTTCAAAATTTTATAATTGCCTTAAAAACTCACCCCCTGAATATATTTGGAATTGAGAACTTTGCAGATTTGATCCTGGGTGGATGATGTTTGAGGTAATCAGGACTTGGACTCAGAAAGGCATAAAGAGCTTCACTTTGTGACAGCATATCATCCTTTAGTACAGTCTACAGTAAAACATATACATATAGAGGAAAACAGTGCATAATGGAAAAATACATTTAAAACATCATAGGGATCATAGTAATCATGGTGACTTTGGTAAAAATGCTCTATATGCATAACCTGGAACGAAATGCTTAATTATTAAGAATAGTGTAGGCCATGATTAAAGATTACTATAACAATACAAATTATAAATATTTACATAAATGTTCCTCATTATTAAAAGAACATTAATTTTTTTAAATAATATTTGTTTCCATACTATCACATAAAAAGGAATTGCTAAAATCTCTTTATAAAACTTCTTATATATATTTTTTTCAAATAAATCCCATCTAAATCAAACTGTAAATCTGGGAAATTAAACAATTTAATGACTCACAGTCAAATATGTGCTTAGAGTGCCCTTAGCTTTCTCCAGAAATGCCTTGTTAACAGATTTAAAGGGAAGTTTACTCAGGGTTGGCAACTGCTTTTTGGTCAGCCAGGCTGCAATCTGAAAGTCAAATGATGTGTCATCTATATCTTAATCATGTTATCTAGCTGGGGTAGCGCTAACTCTCGCCAATTTAGCCAAATGCTAAAACTGACTTAAAATGGCTAAACAAAAAGGGCTTGATTTGACTTGTTTTAGTCAAATTATAATCATTTGGATAACAAATTGACAAAAAAAGTGGTAATTTGGCTAAGTGAAAAAGATTGCTAGCACTACCCCAGCCTAGTGTGTTTTTCTTTTCATATTACAGTGTACATATAGTATGATAAACTGAAACATATCTTTCTACACCAAAAATCATTGACATATAACTATCTTTATCCATCAGATGATGGCACATGCTGTATGTATGACTGATATTGTCAAATGAATAACTTTATCATAATATTTGAAGAAGGCTGTAAAGGATGATATATAGGAGCAAGGACATGAGCACCTCTAATCCTTTCATCAGAATAAAAAAAAAATCAATGTCAACTTCACAGAGTATTGTTCTTTACCATAATAAGCTTGTTATGAAGTGTGTGGAATTCATCCAGTGTCCTTGATACCACCCATCCACTGGTGCTGTCTTGCATTGAACGCCCTCTGGTATGGAAACCTTGGAGATCTACAACTATGGCAAAATTTGGCACCATCTTGTCAGTGTCTTCATCTTTTGACAGCTAAAATCGAAAAAGAAATTCAATCTTAAATCTTCACTTCCATATTCATTCAATTGATACTTACAGGGCTCCATATCTCGAAAGGTTCGCTATGTTGCGCACGTGCGCAAGCGTCTCGATTCCATAACTCGCCCATACTAGTCCCATATAATACATTGTAGCCTCTATTTGATATAGCGATTCGCAATACGCGATGCTTTCGAGATACGGGGCCCTGGTCTACCCTAGTACTGACTATTTATCAAACCCCTTTTTTATAAAATTAAAACAACATTTCCTTCTTAACATGAATGAAGGAGTCTTTATTGTGAACATGTCACCAAGCTAACTTTGAAGTGGATACAAACATTGAATTAATGTTTACAACTGACACTGAATTTTGCTCAATCCTTAAAACCACCAAGGAAATTAGTTTTTGAGATATCTATAGTATAGAGAGTAACTGCAATGTTACTGTCAAGACTCTTTTGTAACACAATCTCACAAACTGCACTATTGAACCAACCTCTGCATTGTATATGTGTGCTTTCCAACGTCCAACATTTTCCCACCACAGCTCTGTCTTCTCAATATGAAACTCCAGCTGTCTGCGTTGTGATTTCAGCTCATCAAGTTCCTGCTGCAGCTCATCTACTACTTTGGCCCTCTACACATCCAAAACATACACTGAATATATCACTTAATATAACAATCAAAATAAAGTAAAACGAACATTATTATAGTTCAGAAAAATAATAACTGTTACAACAAAAAAAAAAAAAATTATATGGAAAACCAAAGTATGTCAATATAAAATATAAAGTCACCTTTGTATCATCACTCTTCTGTGTGTGTTTCATAGCCTGCAGAGCCTGTGCCTTATTCATGGTCTTGTCATCCAATATCTGCAGTCTTTTGTGCAGTGCTTGAGTCAGTTCATGAGAACCAAATGTAGGTTCCTTCTGTTCTTCTGGAGACCCTGGGATACTGTACATGAGATGATCTAGAAACAAAAATATGATAACGTTCAGGTATATATTTTTAGCACAAAGCTGTCATTCAGTATGCTACACATAGTTTTTTATATTTTTTCCTTTTCTTTTTAGTCTTATAGCACAAAACCTTCAGACATTATAATACAAATAAACCCTCTACATGTACAACTATGGGAAACAACACACCCAGTTTTGCCCACCTCCTTTCACTTCAAACAACTTATCCTAATAAAAAATACTCCACTCACATTATAGGAGGGGCAACAAGTGTGATACCACACCCACCTTATGGTGACTTACCTGGTAAAGCTTCATGTGATGACACATCCACTTCAGTCTCCTCCTCTTCCAGCTTACTGACATATTTGTGATAGACATCACTCACAATGTATGAAGGATAATAATTGCTGTCCAGTTCATTCCATACCTGGACTTGAGCAGTGAAGAATGCTTCTGGACCCTAAAATGTTAATATGTTATTACCTGTATCAATAAGATAATAAATAAGTCATGTTCTTTACTTAGTGTAAACATCTTGAAAAAATTGTCACCTTGGGTCAGTAGGTTCAGGTGCCAAACAAAGTAAAGCTTATATCAGCATTTGAACAAGTTTAAACAAGTTTCATAAAAATCAAAGCACTGCAGAGCTAATCCTTTTGGTCAATAACAGCTGAATTATTACCATGTTTCCAAGCAGAAATCCTTCAATCCTTTTGATGGTTCCTCTGTCCAGCAGCTTAGTGACCAGACTGCTGGGCCTGGAGATGGACATGTGGTAGATGTCTGTGCCTATTTGGTGCTGGTATTTCTGTAAAATGTTACAAACCTCTGTAAGAATTCATTATATGTGAACAAAATCACTTAATGTGTTCCAAAGATATAATTATGGTTCATAATTCACAAAAAAATTATTTGGAAAATTCTGAAAGTAATTTAGGTTCAAGTCAAAAAGTTCCTTATAAATAAGTAAAAGTGTTACAAGTATCATACACAGAGTGTTAGAAATTTGAGGCAAATTACCATAACATTTTAGAGAAACTGTCATCATCACTTAATGCATCATCACTTAATACCACATCAATCTTATGTGAATGCATCTATAACTTTCAACCCTTTCTATTACAATTTATTAAACCGATTACCTTTTCTGCATGCTTCAATTTTTCAACAGCATTCCAAAACCTGCAAAATTAATGTCTACAAGTAGCATCACTGTTTCTTTGCAAACACATGATCACTGACAAGGAGACATACTAACAATTTCACTGACCATAATAAATTCATCAAAGATCAATAATGCCATGACAAATACAATTAACAGCATCTTGACAAAAGATAGAGCAAATGAAAATGTAGCCTCAGATTATTTAAATTTCAAATCATATAATAAGAAGACACTTGTGTAGCTCTTTTCAAAACACCTAAAATTCACTTAACACGTTACTCACTCCAAAAGAGAATGGTTATCATCTCTCCGTAAAAACTTCATGAAGTATTCTTGAGCTTGTGGATTATGCATCACAACATGGAATGAAAACACCTGAGAAAGTAAAATTGATTAATCTGTTACAATCTGATCCAAATAGTGTAATTCTACTGGGTACAGCTTACTATTTCAAGCCACTTTGCCTGTACTTGATTTTGTCTTTTTACTTTTATATGCAATTAATAATTTTACCCAACATACTAACAACGTAATGATGGTTCTATTCTGAAGTTGAAAAAAAATTATTTCGATGTTATTATGTACACTTTTCACATTATACTTATTTTTACATTACACAACATATACTGAAATATTTTTACGTTGCTTTTACCCTAATCTTTTTTGAGCCAAATCAATTTTAATATTACAATGAAATCTTTGACCTTTATAAATACTCTTAGAGGATATCATACATGCTGACATGACCGGATGGCAAACACCCGACTGCCTTTTGTTACTGTAGTATTACCTTGCCTCCTCCATGAACCTGACTATCTTCTTCATCTGAGCCATAGCCATCATACCCTTCCCCCCCACAATGACGGATTCTTTTCTCCACTTTGTTCTTAGAAGTTCTCAACTGCAGAAAATAGAAAACACTGTCAAAGACGGGTTTTGAGGTAAATCCATTGATCCTCCAGCACTCATTCTGGTAGTACAATAAGAAATAGATTATTTTTCTGTTTGGCACTACCAGTATTTGAATGCACTGTGACAAGTCAAAGTCAACAGTGATTAATTTACAAGTAAGTCTTATCAATGTGACAAGATAATTTTCCTTCTGTTTTGAATAAATACCCTACATTTCTCTCAATTCTTGTTAGAATAGTACTGTATTACCTGGTTTATATACCGCTTCAAATTCCTTGCTTTCAGCAGGTCCCCCTTTCCTGTGCCTTTTGGTGCAGTGTCCTTCTCTGCAAAATACATTTACTATTAATTTCCAGAAATGAAATGTCAAAATATTTGGTTAACTTCTCTCTATTTAAAATCATTACATCTATGTTCAACATGTTATTATGTTGGATAAGTGTGTGTGTGTGTGTGTGTGTGTGTGTGTGTGTGTGTGTGTGTGTGTGTGTGTGTGTGTGTGTGTGTGTGTGTGTGTGTGTGTGTTTGTGTGTGTGCGTGCACACACACATGCGCCTGTGTGCTTGTTTTATTTTTCAAGAAACTGAAGAGCAATACATCTTACCAATATCTAAGCCTTGAGCTTTCTTTAAATTGTTTATTACAGTGGCATGCATTATTTCAGTCATAATGCTGTACCTAAAATGTGGAAAAACAAAATTTTAAGTTTTCAAATTGATCATTTATTAGCGAAATTGTAAAAACTACATCTTTTGTCTTAAAAAAAAAAGTTACATACATCTTCAGTTCCATAATGTTGACAACCCACTCTAAAAAGTACCTCAGTTCTACATGAATTTTATGGAAATTAATGGTCATTGATGGTATAAAAAATGGAAATCTTTAGAATTTCTCCACCATAGTTTCTAACCTCATCTGCTTGAGCATTTCCACATCCTCACACTCCTGTATCATCTTCATGAACTGCTCATAGGAGGCAGCATAGGTGTAGGTCTTCTTGTGGGTCTCCCTGTACTCTATATTGCTCAGCAGAGTCTGGTTGATATTATCTGGGTCACAGATAGATTCCACAGAAGGCTTTAACACTGAAACACATCAATATTTTACTAAAGAAATCATATGCTTGCATGTCATATTTATTTAAAAATGTAGAAAATAGAAGGTTTTAGAACTGCGAGTAGGAAAACACCATTAAAAAAGGCAGCAATTTGTGAAAAATAAATGTAGACAAATGTTTATGAAAATTATTCAGCAGGATTCCTTGACAACATTAATAAATCCAAAAAAAAAAATGAAAAAAAAAAAACAAAACAAAAAAACATACCTCCAAATATTATCAATGTATTTTACCTATTTTTTAAAATACCTTATTGCGATTCCCTGAAATTACCTTTACAAGCAACAATTTCTCTCAGTAGATGGCGTGCAGGTAGGCAGGAAGCATACTCATCAGGGAGGAGGTAAATTAGAAGAACATCTGCTACCTTTCTGAGAAATTCTGTCTCTGTGTCTTCACTGGCAAGCCATGGGTGAAGGATAAACTCAGAGTTTGGGCTGTCTTGATCCCTGCAACCAATCAATTTTGATGGCAACATTTTCAGTGTTCAACTGGCTATAAACACAACAGAAATTTAGCAATGTAATATTAAAATCACTCTCATGCCACCCCTTCATTTTTTACTATATCATTATGATCATTTCCAAATTATCTCAATGTTATTATCTAAATGCTTTGAAATTAAAATATGCTGAACATTATCAACATTTGCTGCTATTCATTCTTGTTAATTACCAGATGTACCTATTTTGGCAGACATACATGTACATGTACCAATTTTGGCATGAAACACTTATGTACTTATGTACAAACACTTATGTAGTACATAGTACTTGTATATAAAAGTTAATGTGCTTACCTTACAGATACCTCCTTAACATCATGGAAATGTTTTCGCAATGCATCAGCAAAGTCTTGTGTCATCAGCTTTAATGTGTCAATCCTGCTGAGGCGGGTGGAAAGGTTTTCTATCACTTTCCACATGTCTTGTCTGAGACAGGATAGAAGAGAATGGTCATTCATCATAAAATGCAAATTTGAGAAAAACACAACACAACCCCCACCCCACCCATCCCCCAAAAAAGAATACTACATAGCAGAAATTTTAATACACTGTTAACTTAATATATAAATGAAAGAATACATTTCATCAAAACAGATATATAATTAATAATAAATTGATTTTCAGAAGCTGAATAGCTTTGAACTCAATTTTGAAAACATTTTTCTGCTTTCAAACTTCCTGAAGTTATTTATTGCTTTATCTTGCACTCATTACTGTTGCTTATATAGCAATTCTTGTATGTAGTACCTGAGCATGTAAGGGAATGTGGTGGTGTCTCTAGACAGCTCACTGTACCAATCCATCACATAGTCTCTGATGACCAATTTCAGGAGGCCGTCTATGGAGACATCAAGATTTCTGGAAATAATGACCTTCTTCCTGGTCTCCATCTGACTACCTCTGGAATACTGGAACAGAAGAAGCTTTGTTACTTCTATCAGAATCCAATTCCTAAGGATATCTATTAATAAATATTCTAGTTTATTATTCTCAGTTGATGCACATATTGGACTATTAGCAACCCCAACCTTTCCCCACAAACAAAACTGCAGTATCTGACAGTTTCTATTTCTCACAAGCTTTTGGCCACTTGCTGGAGTTTCTAAGTTATATATTAACACCTGTATTTCCATTTTTATATTTAATTCAAACACTCCCCATGACATCATAATGCTGCTTTACCATCATCTGTTTAAGGAGTTCATGTACTTTTGATGTTTCTTTATTAGGGGCAGGTGGAATGTATCTTTTTCCTCTGCATATCACCATGGCAACACCCAACACACCTCCACTGAGCACAGCCATAATGTTCAAGCTCCAGTGTAACAGAAGGGCTAAAATCAAAACAAGATAAAAATCTATCAACATGATGATAATTATTCAAAGTTTTACAATAGACAATGTTTTTATAATTAAACAATAATAGCTAACATTGGCTAGACCAATTAAGGACTTATTATGCTTGTTACATTTCATCAATAAGCTATTTATATAACAGCATACAGTCTGTGCCAAATACTTTTCAACTTACAGGCCACGGTTTAGACACCCTAGATCTGATGCTAGCTTTATGACCACAATGTCTCATACATTGATCCATCCAACTGCATCTCAGACCGCATTCACATCGAGTTGAGCCATGGATGTACAAAGTCACGAACTAAATATGGTGGACGTACATGAAAGGAAAACCGCCTAATCTTTAAATAGTCTCCCCGCCTCTCACACACCTCCCCATGTGTCGTCCCAATGGAGCCGAGATTTAATGACTGTACCCCCGCAAGGACATCGCGTGGGGAGGCGTGTGACAGGCGGAGAGACTATTAAAAGATTAGGCGGTTTTCCTTTCATTTACGTCCACCATATTTAGTTCGTGACTTTGTAGATCTATGGCTCAACTCGATGTGAATGCGGTCTCGGACATTTAAACCATTTGTTAATTCGAAATAAAAGGTGACTTATGAGAAGCATCAGACTCCAACCAGTCCAAATCTAAATTTTTCTCTCTCACCTATATACCCCTGTTGGTAACAGAAAGCAGCCAGCACAGCTGCTAAGCTGATGGTTACAATGTGACCAGAAATCATTATGAATTGTTTTTCATTTGCATGTTGCTTTTTCGCACCAGGAACTGGAAAAAAAAATACAGCATTAATAAGAAATATGAAGTACGTTGGTCAATGCACATGCCAGATACCCAGTATTAGGTCATATCACCTACTCTGTACAGAGAATAATTAATGGAAATATATTCTGGCAGTTTGTCGCCCATTCATTACAGATATACAGTACAGTTTTATCTAAACCATACACACACACACACACACACACACACACACACACGTACAGGCATGCATGAAAAAATGGATAAACCATGTCATTACTTGCTGGACTATGAGGCGATTCACCAAGTAATATTGTTCATAAAAATAGCCAGGTTCAATTTTAAACACTGGAGTCCGCAGACTGACGGACGAACAATGTTTTGAACTACACGTACTAAGGCTCGTAAGTTACTGATGTTACTGGTATCAGCGTCACGATGGTATGAAAAACATGCAGCACGGTGAGATTGTTGGTTTATCGTTACATTTCATCAATAGGCTATTTATATAACAGCATACAGTCTGTGCCAAATACTTTTCAACTTACAGGCCACGGTTTAGACACCCTAGATCTGATGCTAGCTTTATGGGTATACCTCTTCTAACTTGGAAGGCTTGAAAGTAATTATTTAAAACATTTGTCTCAACCCATCTCAACTACTGCAATGTTGATTGCCCCACTTGGTGTTGAAATGCTTTAACTATTGCTGGGGATTTTGTGGCTACTCGGGGAAAAATATGAAATAACGACAAAATATATGCACAAATAAAAATGTGTGTTAACAATATCATAGAAATGTCATGGATAAAAAAGAATACTTAAAGGCACAATGTAAAAAAAATCTTTATGGTTCATTTTTTTATTCGCAAGTGCAAGTAATGTTATTTTTTGCTTGGTAATCCATGGTGGTTATATCACCCTTAGACTACATGTAAAAACTGCACATTTATTTACAAAACACGGGAATGTCCTATTTATAGAGTTGCAATACTAATTCCTAATACTTAAACATTTCACAAACAAATTTACATAAAATGAAATAAGAATAAGGAAAAAATACTCATAGGTACAACATAGAAAAGCATTTCTAAACATACACTTAACTTGCATAATAACTAAAAGAACAACCAATCACATTAACTTGGTCACAACCAAACCAATATAAAAAAAATTCTCCATACAGCAAATCTTTTTTCAGATGCCTTTACAATGTTAGGATTTTTTAAAAATAATCTTTATAATTAGCTTTTAAAAATGTTATTTTTTAATGGAAAAATATTCCTATGAAAACTGCATTTTAGTAAGTTCTCCTAAAATGTCATAGGAAAAACATATGAAGGAATGTTGACCACAGGCATTTCTCCATTATCCACTTTTCAAGACTGCAGCAACCTCAGAGTTAAAATATATTCAATGTAAAAAATGATACTAACATATGAAAACTACATAATGTCACAACTCAAGAAATTTACCTTAAATGTTAATTGCCAAATAATGCACAGTAATTTATATTTAAGAATAGCCAGCAAAAATGAACTTTTCAAAAAATGTTACATGAAATATACAAAATAATTGTCAAATAAAAACATACATAATTATATAATCAGTAGAGATTTGAGATGTACCAAAAATGCAATTTACATCAAGTGTACATGCATACATTACCTGATAGCCCTTTATCAATACAAAAAGTGTAGTAGGTGCTTAGTCATTACATTAAATGTAAACCTAATGTTTATATTCAATGTGTGCTTCATCTGATATATATCAGTAGACGCAACATTCTGGGATACTCAAGGATATCATTTGTCTGTTTAAAACAGGTTAAAGGTTAAAAACATGTTATCAAAATATGTTGTTAACATAACTTGGTCCCTAGGGTATATAAAAAAAAACTGAACATAATAGATTTAAGTTCTGTACATTTGGGTTAAAAAAAGCAGAAAAGATATTATGTACACATGGTTCTAAAATTGCATATGAATGGCTGTGCCATAGTTTAAAAACAACTCGGTTAAAACATATAGTACTATGTACATAAACACAGCCACATTCAAACACACAATAAATGCCTCAAGTTGTCAGAACGCAATGAAAATAAATGAAATTTTAGGCTTTTTAACTTGCACAGTTTGTAACTATAAAGCTCATAGAAAAGCACCAAAAATAAACCTAGAAACACCACAAACTAGGTTAAAATCATTAAACAAACTCATGAGCAAATTCCAAAAGTACTCCAAATTATTTTGAATTTTTTAAAGAGAAAACACATCTATGAAAATTATGAAACAATGTTATTCAACACAAGGTTGATATTCAATACCAACATCCTTTAGTGGAATGTCTTATCTGCTGTCTATTCAATATACACTTTTCAATGGGAAGATCAAGTGGAACCAACTTTCATTCTATATTCATTCTCTGTCTAAAATCATAAATTGTTGATACTTGCCAATTAAGAATTAAATAAAATAAATTTAGAAATGCACTTTGTAGTTTTGTGCTACATGGGATTTATATCATTATTTTTTCTCATAAATTCATATCACACTAATTTCTTTTCTTGATTATTTTCAACACTGGGTGTTAGAATATTTATTTTTGATATCTGTGTTTATTTTTATCAACGGCTTACACAATGGAAGATACTTAAATTAATAATCATGTCAGGCTTTTCAGTTAAAAAGATAACATTAGGAAGAGATGGGGTTTAAAAGCCATATAGTAAGGACAAAATTGCCCCTTTAAGTTTACATCAAGTGATAAAATACAAACATATGGGAAAGAAAAAAAAACTGATATAAAATCCTGCCTTGGTGTTAATGAGATCATTGTGGAATGACTGATTTCTGTCACAGCTGATGGTGTTCATATCGTTTATCATCATTGCGTTCCAAAAGGCACCTTGTCCGGAATCTTGCCTGAGCGTCCAATGATACTGTCCATCTCCATCGTGGACTCGAGGTCAACAGCTGACCGGTAATCGGTCAGTTCTTTGGCTATCTTGATCTTTGTGTAGTTGGCAGTCAGGGACACCATGAAGTGGACCTAAAGTTACAGAAGGAGAAGAATAAAATAAAAATTTTGATTGGTATATATATACCAGTTATTTATCTGTATCTCATAAAATTATTAAAGATAAAAATTGTTTAGCAGTCCATCAAAGGTGAAATATATACCCTTAATTATTCTATCTTTAATTAACATACCAAATTAGTTAAAACATTGGTACAAATCATGAAATAATTACTATGTTTTGTAAATCAGAAGCAATACAAAACTTACAATATTGAGGTTGAGAAACAACAACAGGAAGAATTTCATTATGACATGACAAGACATCACATTGTCTCAAGCAAGCACTGCACAGCACACTGACAGTTCAAACACACAGGAGATTAACAAAGTTTTCTTTGACTTCTCAATTCAGTAGCACCTGTTATACTTAATCTAAAATCTTTTTGTGTTTTTTTTTTCAAATTTGAGTTAGAATAAAACAATTTTTCAAAATGTATGAAAATAAAATAAAAATAATAAGGCAATTTTATAAAAAGTTGAATTTCTGGTGACTGATGCAAAAAAATGCATTGTCAGAATTCTACTTAGAGGGAATCTAATTGTTTCCATAATTTGCCTACGTACTCTAGTATTACAAACATGCATCAAAATGTTGGACCTTAACAACAGGCACGGCTTACTAATTTTTACATAAATATCCTATATTTTCACCTGACAAACATGTAAGTGCATGGATGAGTTACGTGTGCTGCATGCAAAGATGTCCTGGCTTGCCGTCTTTGGAAATGTGGAAATCTTACAAAGTGTGATTCTTTTTTAATTGCTCTCCCCCTTCACCATAAAAAGCAATAAAACCATTTTGCTGTCTTTTAAAAATGGGTGCATTTTACAGAAACATGCAGTAAATGATTTATATACAGAGCACCATGTATAGGTCTTTGGTTCCACTTAAATAGGGTAAATCACAGACAATTTTTCTATTCAAATCGTATCATATTTCAACATAATCATGCATTATTCATCATTGTAATAATGATAATTACAGCTCTAATAACCCATCACTGGGTTCACAATTAGTAAAATTTACCATGGCAATAAATATCTATGCACAGACATGAGCCTCCACAAATGCATTAGAATTTGTCTGGTTCAAAAGATTCTGTCATTTCGACATCGTCCCTGATTTCCTGTAGTTCCTTTGATACTCGTAACCGTACATAGTTTGCACTTAATATGGAGATAAACTGAACCTGAAACACACCAAGTGCCACATATAGAGAAGCGCTAGAGAAAGGTGTCAATTGTGTTAGTTGAGATGTATATAGACTGTGTTGGTTGTTCTTAGTCCACTATGAAGAAACCTGTAATGTTGCTTGGACCACCAAGGACCCTCAAAATATATGTCTCTAAGGGAAGCTACAGAAATAGGGCAGAGCATGATACAAAATTATTTCCCTCCAAGCCTTTTACTTTTACTTTTCTTTGATGTGATAATTTTATCTATTGATTGTTTCTATCAGTATATTTGTTAGTTGACATTATTACAGAGCAAATGTGACCCAGGACCCTTTCAATATTAGCTAGATCAAAAAACTATGTGTTATCAGATGAGCACTTTCCTAAAAATTACCATTTTACATAAGTGAAAATAATGGACAAGCCTACATAATTTTGTCCTATAAAATAAAATTCTTATTTCTTAGTTAATTAAACAGGGAAACACATTTATAACATATTAGATATGATATGCAAAAGAAATCAAACTAAAAGTTACTTAATTATCTCACTCTTTCTACAATTTAGTGGCATTTTATTTAGTAAATTTAGTATTTTCATTTTCTTTTTTGCTGTGCAATGCTTGAGATGGCCATACCAATTTGATTATTTGAGTTAAACCCTATAATGATCTTGCCTCTATTTTCTAAGTTACTCTGATTTATTTCTAGTGGTCAGGACCTACTTTCTCACTCTCTTGATCTATTCTGAAGTCATGTCATTCAAACGGAGATCCTCGCGAATGTCTTGTAACTCTCGTGCCATTTTGATCTTGTTGTAATTGGCAGCCAAAGATATCATGAATTGTGCCTACAAATTTAAAAGGTGCCAAATTAGGATAAAATCAAATTTTGAAAGAGGACGGAAAATTTAAATAAACAAGCAGCATATTGAGGGCAATTTGATTCAATATATAACATTCCCTTTCCACAAATTCATGCAAACCATGAGCTTTCCCCCAATTCGTGTCAGTAGGGCACAGGGAAATGTACTTCAGATGAAGAGTTTATCCAAGAAAACAATCCTAAACTGACAAAATTCAGGAAAGGATCATTTCCCTGACAGGAATTCTGACTTAAAACCAGGTCTACTTGTCTTCTGACAATCCACGATTTTTCGTTCTCCTATCTTTGAAAAGTGCTCAAATTTTAAATAGGATCTTCAACATTATGATAGAGTTTTGGAGAGTGACCTTAACCTACAACTATGATAGTGTGACCTTTAGTAATGAGGGAAGGTAGGAGCATAAAAAAATCAGAAGGGGGTCAATAGTTAGAATAATGTTAATAATAGCGGGTAGGTGTTAATAATAGTCATATCTGTGTTATAGGTACAAATGGGTTACTGAAGAATAATCCCTCTTCCAATAACATTTAATATGGAGTTCAACCAGTCCACTGTCACTTTCTCAAAATAATAAACAAAAATAAATAATAAACAAATAAATAAACATAAAAATGAATAAATAAATATAAAAATTTAAAAAGAAAAATTAATCAAGTTTGCTATATGTTAGTCAGTAA